TCTAGAACGTTCTTGACAAGAATTGATTACCCATTCTTTTAACCGACTTCCTTGTCCAGTTTCTAATCACGTTTCTTCTTTACCTAACTCCCTCCATCCCAGATCCATATGTGGACAGCAGTGTTTGTATAAGTCATGATGTGCATGGGAACTAAGTTATAATACCTTCATATGGAAAATACTAAAATACGTGCATCATTTACAAAAATGTTTAAATGGTGCAATATGGGAGCCTGCACTTTATGATATAATTTTCTGTAATGTATTTCCTGTTGAAATGGAAGCTAAAGGGAAATGGTTATCATAGTCAGCAAAGTTTTCGCTTTCTTTTTTTTGTGTTTTTGTACATGTTTCAATAATAAAGTGACTGTGTCACCCCGTCCACTCCCCCTTTAAAATCTTAATGAAATGCTCATATAGACTGTGTAGAAATGTCTCTGAAATTCCAACGCAGTCCAAAGATAGACTATTTTATCTTTTTAATATTTTTATTTTTTTCTACTCCTGACAAAACTTGACAAAAAGGCATAGCCTAGTCAAACATTCAGACATCATTAGTAATTACTGAGGGGAAATAGACTTTGCTCATGGAATCTTCTGCAGTATTAACGAGATCCACCATAAGTCAGGAATCCGGGAACCAGAACACACAGACAGAATCACAAACAAGAAAATTTGTAATACCGGTCCTTAGAATGGCTGGGTTATACAAATAAGCAGAGTCAGAATACAAGTTGAGGTCAGAGGATTACAGAGGAAAGGAATAAAGATAAAACAAGCCGAGGTCAAGGATTAGAGAGAAAAGGATAAACGAGAGACAAAAGCCAGGCAAGGTACCAAACAACTAAACAGAAGGAACGCGCTATTTGGCTACCAAGAAACCAGAACAGGGCAACAAGGAATGGGAGAGGTAAGTATAAATAGGCATCACAACATCTGATTGGTCAATTTTTGTTTGGAATTGACCACTATTCATGGAATGTACTTGACGTTCCTGATCTGACCTCTGACGTAATTTTCATGTGCCAAATTCGGTCGTTCATTTGGGCTCATGCTTAAGACAGAATGCCGGCGGGGATCGCGGCACCCAGAGCTCTGCCGGGAGGTAAGCAGGCAGGAAGCCTGACAACATAGACATCACTGCTATACTCTTGTACGTACACGAAAATACAGCAGCAACATCAGCTCTTGACAGTTGAAGCACCAAATGATGAAGAGGACCAGCGGGATGACGATGGTGGCGGCCGCGTGTGACAGGTTCAAATATGGAAGATATACTGTTCCCTGTACCCTTCGGCTATCTCACTGCGAGCAGTTACCATCAGAGATATGCAAAGACCCCAGAAACAACAGAGCCGCTTTAAGCTTTAATATGCGTTGAGAGAGCCATGGAGCATATGTAATTTATTGCTTGATACAAAGTATCCCTCACAACAATAAATATTTTCTGTAATTCTTTTAATGTCCATGACATTCGGTCAGCATCTGTGCTTTCAATTCTGAAAGTAAAGAGTTAACTGCTTTTTTCAATTCAAAATGCATGCAAATGGTTGGATAGAAGGATATAACCTGACCTGTTCCTGCAAATATAGTCATGTTTTCCTACTTCTCTATCCATTGCTTATGCTATTCAAATGAAAAAGTTCAGAGCACCCTGCTCTTTCCACTACATTCTGAAAGCTCCACTTATCTTCTGCATTTAATTAGATATTTATCAATTACAGGAGCTCCATGTCCTTGTTCCAGACAGTCCTCCTAACACCAGCTGCACGCATAGCAAACCTTTCTCAAGCAGACTGGTATGCAGCCTTAATACTGCAGTAATATAACATGAATTAACAAAATTACCTTACTCATGATATAGGCCTGAGCTACCTTCAAAGACCTTAATAATAAACTGCAGTTATATAGGGAGAGCTGTAGGCTATAAACATTTTTTTAAAATACATTAAATAAACTACCACTGCATTTTTTTACAATATTGGGTTGACTGTTTTCCTGACTTGTAAATATGCTTAATTGTTCATATTTATTCATTTAATATTTTACATTTTTTGTGCATTATTTGCTGTCTTATACTAATGCAGCATTCCATACTATTGCAATCTACATAATAAATCCTGCCGCTGCTACTCTTTTTTTTATTTTTTTTTTATTTTGCATAGTTTATTCCATTCTTGTAGGTGTCACCCATTAACCCCTTGACTGCCAAGTAGTGTTTGTTTTAAACATTTTTGGCATAATGCATACTTGGGATGCATTGCAAGCACCTACATTTAGGCTGAAAGATCAATTTTGTGTATAGACCACTACAAGAGAAACACAATTAATATTATGTAAATGTGCACGCTTATAATATGACTATTATATGAGCATGTTTTATTAAGGGTTTTAACTAGTTTAGATATTGTTACATCCATTAAATTCCAAATCGCAGTGAATTGTAATTCAAATAACACAATTTAGGAAAAATAGCTGATCTAGATAGTTTATATAAATTTCAAAATACATCACACGGTTGGGTATAAGGATATAAATATCTATATAAGGATATAATATCTAAATATTTTAGATATTGTGGGTTTTATTCATTAAATTCTGAATTGGTGTGAATTGAAATTCAAATGACACAGTTTAAGAAAAATAGCTAATTTATATAAATTATCCAACTTGGATATTTAAACATAAAATGTGCCATTGGGTGATACATTCACTGCAGTTCATGTCTTACATAATTTGCAATATTTCAAACATAATATGAAAATGTAGCATAGAAGCAAAAATACAATATTTGACACATACAGAATATGTGACAAATATCTATCATTACAGATTTCAAATAAGGATCGTATAGGTATTAGAAATAATTGTGGTGGCTGTTTTATACTTTAGATTAATTATAAAAAAGAGCAAGTAAAAATGAATATCTGTAGATCCACATTATACCTGAATACAGTTTACTAACCAGTAGTACTATCATTGTTTTGCAAACTACTAGAGCATGATTCTCCAAACTCTGGCCCTCTAGATGTTGCAGAACTACAACTCCCATTATTCTTTCAATGAAATAGCTAGCCGGAGAATCATGAGAGTTGTAGTTCGGCAACATCTGAAGAGCCAGAGTTTGGAGAACCCTGTACTAGAGGAACCTCTAAAACTCCGTAGTACTCTGAATGTTTTCTATCTCCCTAATCTGCCCTAACTGGCTGTTTGAAAACAATAATAATGTTTCTAACTTACTTACTTACTATATAGGACGAAGAAAGAGAGGGCTACAATTTTCAGATACAGAGAGACAGAATGGAACACTGGTAGAGAAATATTTAATATAGACTGGAGAATTGATTGACATTTGGAAACGTAAGTATTCTATCCACTAACAAAGGCATCAATATAATCCAGGAATATATTAAAGGCATTCTATAGTGTTATTCTATGCAATATAGTACCCTGTCCGTCCGTCCCCCGCCTCCCTCTTCCCCTCCCCCCTCCTTCTCACTCCCCACACCCTGTGGCACACAAAGGGTGAAATAACAACAACTTTAATTACTAACCCATGGGACATCAGCGCTGCGTCGGCACTCCGCCACCTCTGATGTCATCCGACGGCGGGGGGGGGGAGAACCTCGGGCGTACTAGGCCCTCCCAATAGGAAAGCATCGACTCAATGCTTTCCTGTGGGGATTTCACTGACGCTGGATGTCCTCATGCAGAGCATGAGGATGTCCAGCGTCATTTAGGGAACCCAGAGTCCGGTAATATCCCTGAAGCGCCTCTAGTGGCTGTTTTTGTACTAAAATGAGATGAAGTGGTCTGGGTGTCTATTGTGTTCCTTTAACTTCTTTGCTTTGACAATATGGTATCCAGCACTCTCTCTATTCCGTGATGGTTATAAGTGTTACCAAAGGATAAAACAAATAAACAACCACAGGAATAAAGAACCTTTTAAATGACTGGTTCCCTTTTTGTTTTTGGTTGTTTTTTGATTTTGTTTTGTTA